ATAAGTGCCATAGTCATTTTTCAACATAAAACACAAACCTTAGTGTTGAAAACGAGTGTGTAGTCTACACAAAACACAATTGAAGTTTTAGGTTTTTCTCGACAGAAATGCTGGATTTGACTTGAACGTCATGTAAAAGATTAGAAGATTAATATATCCAAAATATTTTTGTTATGATAGCAATGTAACATTTCTTTGAAAGCAGATATTTTGTTAGGGTGAATCAGTTTGTACTTATGGCTAAAAGGTATTTCCTTCTATTATTAGCCCTTCTATTTTTACTGTATCGATTGATAAATATGATAAAGAAATGTGCCTAATTATTAATGTAAAACACTAACACCACAGTTTGATGCAGAGCTTACTACAAACCAAAAGCAATTTATGGATTGGCTATAATTCACGTCGATAACGTCCGTAAATAATATTTAGTTCCCCATTGTGGTCCCGCTTCGCATCGTACACGAAATATTAATTAATTCACATTTAAAATATTAATTACATGGTATCGGATCCGTACCTGTGTTCTCTAGGATATTAAGTTTCGCAACAAACCAAACAGAACCATTAATTTAAATTTACATAATAGCCAATGATAGATGAAACCGTAAACATTTTTTATGGCGCCTATCAACACTATCCCACACGATACCGAGAATAGCTACTAATTGGATGATTGTTTAATTGTAATGATTTATTTACGTTAACAATATTAGATGAAACGCTTTTGTATATACATGGCAAGTTATAAATTCCGTTTAATAGGCGTTTAGCTTTGAATAGCCAAGTTAAATTGTACAGTCTGTTACAGTGCATTGATTCCAATAGATAGGTAAAAATTATAAATACTTTAACTTTAAATGGTACTCTATCATGAGTGACACCTCATTTTAAAGCTTTTTCGATTCTGCTCATGACGACATACGACTTTTTAAATTTTGATTTGGATATGACAATAAAATCATCACTTTTAAAGAATAAGCCAAAATATGCCTGCCGTATAACAACCATTATTCTTGTAGAGCAAACTAATTATTTCCACCTTTTCTGAATTGTATTGTATAAACCATTTTTTCACGAATTGGAATTCATTTGACTGTCATAATTTTACGGATTATTGTCTCGGCAAGATGAGACAAAATTGTCTCAGTTAAAGTAAAACAGGTAAAAAAAAAGTTGAACTGATGGAGTATGAAGTTTTTGTATTGACAGACAGATGATATTTGCGATCACGCTAATCGATAAATATTTCTGTTACAAACGCTCAATTAGTTTATCGTAAATATCTACATTTTCATTTCCAATTTTAACAATCTTTCGAAATTGTTCTAGAAAAAATATTGTGTGTGAAGTCCTTTTTATATTCTTGAACACTACATTGTTAAACACGAAAGAGATATTTCGCAATCTAAACACAACAATTTCCATAGGTATATAATTCAAATAATGTTCTTGTTTATTTAAAAAAAATTCACGAATAATCATTTCCATACGTATATGAAGCACTGTATTTCATTTACCTTTAATGCTGACCTGTGATATGTTAATATAAACTGTAGCGAACCCTAAAAAAAATGCTGATGTTATATCAGCGGTAAAACCTTTTTATATTTAACTGCACATTGCACAAGGATAAAAGTCCAGAGGAAATTTGCATGAGCACAAGCAAAATTTATTTATTTAATTGACAGTTTTAACATATTTATATTGTATTTAAGTTAGAAATTCTGGTATATTCAATGATAGTACCTCCAAGTATTTCCGCCACATCTTTACACTAATTCAGCGAATACTTGCTTCTAATTAGCTAAATCACTGGCCCAAGATTCAGAAGTATTTAGAAAAAGTAGTTTTTTTAAATTGTGTACCTCGAAAACCAGTAGTTTCGAATTTCTCGTTTATTAAGACTTATCCAAAGAATGTGCTCCTGAAGAGTTATAACATGTACCTATATGTTTTTTTAAAGATGAAATTCCATACAAAGTTAAAATCGATAAAATTTTCTTTGGGACAACTATAATTTCAAAGTGATGCCGTATAATTCCGATTTTCAGATCAATCACAAGTTGCATGGTATCAGTCTTTGTAGTTTTAATAATTTTGACAGATGTATGAATGCAAATGAAGCAATTTATCATTTATGTCGCGAACAAGATGCAGAGACACTGCCAAATCGTGTGAAAATTATTATTAATCTGTTAAAAAAATCTGCAAATGCGACGTGGTAGTTTTCTTTTTTTTAATTTTTTATTTAGTTATGAAGGAAACCATATTTATTTATTTATGAATTCTCAACAGGCAAAGCGCTTTTTACAGCGTACATAAGTACAAAAATAAAACAAATACTATAGACAGGGTGTTCCACCTAAGAGGGATTCTTTTGTAACTCTGTAACTCAAATTTATAAAAAATGGTATTAATAAAAGATGTCTGGATCTGAGACTTACATTTAATAATCTTACGAGTTAAAAAACTTTTTTTTTTTCAAATGGAATGGCCTATATTAATTATCATGAGTGAATGCAAAATTGAATGCTCTTTCGACTGATTAAGGTTGTCCATACTTATCTCTAACAGTTTTCCAGAAAAATCAGTTTCTTTTCTAAAGTCTGAAAAAATAGTAAAAAAGTAAAAAAAAAGAAAGTAAAAGCTCCCAATTTCTTCAGATAGCATGGATTTTCCTGAAAATACAAGCATACAAGCTCATCTGACCCCCCACTTCAAAAGTTATATTGTGTAGATGTGTGCTTTTTTCTATTGGGGGGTGAAAACTACCCTTGTACGGAAAAAATGGGAAAATCGCATATTTACGTATATTTTAAAGATTCAATTCATGTTCAAATATGTTGGTGAAAGTTCTTTTCATGTTTTTTAATATAATTTATGAAATTTAATTACTTTTCTACCCTTAAAATCTTTAAAAACTAACCTTCCATGGCCAAAAAAATAGAAAAAAAGTTTTTAACAGTTTAAAATATTCTTTTGGTGCATTCACAATGTATTGCATTTCTTACAAAGTTCATTACAAAGTTGCAACCTTTAAAAACCATGCCTTATAATAAAATAAAATATTGAAAGCTTGAGATGTTTTAATGGTACCTATGCATACGTTGAATTATAAACTTTTTATTGGTTTTCAAACGATCTATGATATATTTCAACTTTTCAGCCACCCAAAAAACTCTTATGGAAGACCTACCCCTCATAAAAAACTCCACCCCTTATAGAAAAATTCCCTAAAAATTATATGTGAGTATGATGTACTTAATTATTTTTTTTTTAATTTTATTGAATTTATTCTTAATGTTTTTTATTAAATTTATATCAAATAAAAAAAAATGTATATACATTATAAATGGATACGTGTGTGTATGTATATTATTAAAATACTTTAGATCTTATCTAGCCTCATTTAGAGAGCTGATATCGTGATTTTTTCCAAAAACAACAGAATATCTCGAAAACGGTTTTAAACACCATGTGCATTTAATAAACTCTACCTAATATTAAACAAGGAATTCAAAAATGCAACAATATACAGGGTGTTCCATTTGAAACAACAAAGTCATGTAGCGCCCATTTTTTTATAAATTTTACAGTAGCAGAGACAGAAGAATCCCTCTTAGGTGGAACACAATTTATATGATATCTGAAACAATTAATTTAACAATGTTTCCAAACAATAATTTGCATTAATATTAAATATATCATATTTTGGTGTACAGTATTGTAACTTGTTACAAAGGTATTAAAACATTTTTCCTAAAAGATCTTATAAATTCTGCACATGTGGTACATTGCAACATATATCTACATGAACTATTTAGTTAGTTATTTAATTGGGATCAATAGCAGTTGATGAAATTGTTGATATATGCTAAATTAACAATTACAAGCTTCTAACACCGACAGATAATCACAGTAACCATATAGATTGAGTGGCTATCACGTGCACAATTAATGGTCAGTAGGCCTTAAAATTTCCATCAATATTTAATTATGAATTGGTAAAAGACAGCCAATAGAATTTTTAAAATATACCTGGTGTCTCAGTATTGTTCGGGCAGACGGATGGAAATAAAACCATTTATTTTTTCGAATAAAACGAAACATATTTTTTTTTTTAGAAGAATTAACTGAAATTAAAAACGGTTATCAAATCAAAAAACGGGCTTACATAGACATTTTTATAAAAAAAACTGTCACTTTAGTTGGATTGTATTCGATTTGCTAATTTTTTATTTTAAATGCTATAGATTAATTTTATTGTTGAAGTTTATATTGAAATTCCATTTAAATCATAAAATCAATAATCTGTTTTTGTAAAATCGCCAACTTTTGGTACTATAATTATTAGCAATAACTTCAACAATGTTTATAATAATTGTTAACTATGACATTACTTTAATTTTTCCGTAGCTCATATTATAATCATTAATTATTTTTCTCAGGTACTGTTTAGTCGTTATTTTACTTTACTTTTAATCTCAGTACGCCTATGTTAAAAATCGATTCATCTGTTTCAAATACGCCAGGAGAAACAATTAATAGTGCATTGTATTTTATTTGTAAAAAAATAAAATCGTAATTGATCGACATCAATTCGGTTTACAAATGACCCCAGTCAGAAATGCGGGTTTATTTTTAAGTGACGCGTCCACTTTATTTTAATGTGGTTCCTTATAAGGATACGCTTTTTAAGTTTGGTCCTGGCACTCTCTCAGTAGAAAAATAAAACGCAAAGAGTTTATTACTGCACGGGACCAGGCAAAAGCTTCTACGGGGTGTAGCACATAATATGCTACCTGAAATTCTCGAAAATATGTATGACAATCGGGCCAAATAAAAAATAATAAAACTTCCCGAACGCCCAGTCTCAGGGACCTTTAAATCACTGTTTTTTATTTTTTCGTGACCTGATATTTAGTATTTACGAATGTATGGACGATTGATACTGTATAGTAGACATAACAAAGACTTGACTGTTGTTTCTTTTGCAGATTATGAAGGCAGACGCGATCGTACTGACGCTGGTATTCCTGTGTGGCGTTCTAGTTTATACAGAAGCTTGTACCTGCATGCCGACCCATCCCCAGGAGCATTATTGTAACTCGAACTTTGGTAAGTTCCTTAAATGTGTCCACTTTTGATTTTTATCGCAATTGTTTTGTTCAACCTGTTTCACACTTTACTAATTTTTAAAACTATAAACAGATGAAGAAGCTACATATAATATACAGGGTTAATGTTAAATATGCACATACAGGGTAGCCCATCGAAAACGTACCGCAAGGCATTACAGGGTAGTAATGAACTTTTCGGCAAAATCCAAAAACAGGTAAAGTTTGCTTCTGAGGGGGACAACTTTTGGCGCAAAAAGCATAGCAAAATCTTCAACCCCCTAAGTGGGGGTGCCATCCCCCAAATTTTTTTAAATGGGAATGGGGGTCAAGTGGGGGGTCATTAGAAAGGGCTTTTAATTCTCTATACATCGATTCTTACTTTTTGAAAATCGATCCATTATTTTAGAAAATATGCAGCTTTGAAAATACGAACAATATTTTTGACGAGAAATGCGAAAATCGATTTAATTTTACTTCAAAACTTACGGTATTAGCTTGGTAAATTCCTTCAAAAGAATTCGCTGTTTTTTTTCTGATTTGCGAATTCTTTAGCCTGATTTTGGTGAGCAAAAAATTGTCCGCTTTTTGTTTCGTATTTAGATAGGCCACAAGAAGTTGCTAGATAACTGTCTTGTGACTTGTAGTTGAAGAGTACCAATACTGCCGAGTCTTTTAAATTGATTAATTATGGTGTACTCAATTCCAGAAAGAGTAGAAATTATTGAGCTTTTTTTCAAAAACAATGAATGCGGAAATCGGGTCGCCGAACTGTTCAACCAACGGCATCCTGAGAAACATGCGTCTGGAAAAATTGTTCGCGAATTGGTGGCCAAATTTCGCGAAACTGGCTCCGTTCATAACAAAAAGAGGCAGGTTGAAAATCCGGTACTAAATGAACCTACGGAAATAGCGGTATTGGGGCAAGTGGCAATGGATAGTACGCTGAGTACAATGCAATTGGCTACTGCGACAGGAGTGAGTCGTACAAGTGTCCAACGAATATTAAAAAAATACAAATTCCATCCTTATAAGATTCGGCTAGTGCAAGAGCTAAATGAAGACGATTTTGATCGTCGTTTGCAATTTTGCGAAATAATGACTGAACGAGCGATAAACGATAATTTCCTCTTTAATGTGTGTTTTTCGGACGAGTGTACGTTCTTCTTGAATGGTTTAGTGAATCGCCATAATTGTCGTTACTGGGCTGATACCAATCCAAGGATTTTCCATGAGACACACTCCCAACACCCCCAGAAGTTGAATGTATGGGCAGGTATTTTTGGAAATTCCATTGTAGGTCCTTTTTTCCTTCCTGGAAATTTGACAGGCGATATGTACTTGGATTTACTACAAAATGTCATCGACCCAGCTCTAACAAATATCATAGAGGACGACCCTGCTTACAATGAACACGAACTGATTTTCCAGCAAGACGGAGCTCCTCCACATTACTCGCTCAATGTGCGCAATTACCTAAATGAGACGTTTCCAGGACGCTGGATAGGACGAAGAGGTGCAATTGAGTGGCCCCCTCGGTCACCCGACTTAAATCCTTTAGATTTCTTTCTCTGGGGGCACATTAAAAGCAAAGTTTACAGCACTCCACCTGATACCTTGGAAGATCTGCGAGGACGAATCATTAATGTATGTCGCGAAGTAACACCGCAAGTGCTCCAGAATGTTCGACAACGGTTTGAAGACAACCTGTATCATTGTATGCAAGTTGGCGGACAACATTTTCAGCATTTACTTGACTAATACCGTAAGTTTTGAAGTAAAATTAAATCGATTTTCGCATTTCTCGTCAAAAATATTGTTCGTATTTTCAAAGCTGCATATTTTCTAAAATAATGAATCGATTTTCAAAAAGTAAGAATCGATGTATAGAGAATTAAAAGCCCTTTCTAATGACCCCCCACTTGACCCCCATTCCCATTTGAAAAAATTTAGGGGATAGCACCCCCACTTAGGGGGTTGAAGATTTTGGTATGCTTTTTGAGCCAAAAGTTGTCCCCCTTAGAAACAAATTTGACCTGTTTTTGGATTTTGTCGAAAAGTTCTTTACTACCCTGTAATGCCTTGCGGTACGTTTTCGATGGGCTACCCTGTATCTCTAAAATAGTGGTGTAATTAATAGTTTTTTTTTTGTGAAAATAAAAGTGTCAAACCCTCAAAAATTTTGAGTAATTGACAAAGATAATGAAAAACTGCCGATAGTCAGGTTAGTGAGCACAAAAAATGTTCTGAAATTGATCAAGTGGGATTCTTATGTATTTTGATTAATCCAGGCGATAGAGCAATAAAAGTAGGCTTAGGCGTTTTTGTTTGAAGTCAACTATTTTGTTATACAGAAAAATCCCAAATATTATGTAGAATAAGAATCCTAGTTTGCTTATTCCAAAAAACCATTTCTAAATTCAGAGGAACAACAAACGTACAAAAAGAACGAAGAATGACCCGCTCATCGACATATTTTTTCCTGTAACATTGAAAATGAGCCCTAAATAAAAAAGTCGCTTAAAAAAGTTTTTGTTTATTTGACGATTTTCTATAACATTAACAATGGACGAAAAATAATAGAAAATCATGTGTATATTTGGAGCAATTTACAAACTAAGTAAATATTTATAAATATTTATGAAACTTTGTGAACAAATAGTAAAACATATGTCATTTCTACCCTAAAAATTTTGCAACGATCGATTGCGTGGTTTTCGATTGACAGGATTACCTGACGGCGATTTTTCATTATTTTTGCCAATTACTCAAAATTTTGGGGGTGTTTGAGCTAAACGGCCTGCAGATTGGGATTCAACGTCAAAATACATGAAGCCTATTCGGTCAAATCAAACGTACATACCACTTTTTTTGTGTGTGCCGGTGTTATTTAAACATTTCATTTTTAGTTTTTCAATTTTTTAATAAGTCTTACTGCGTGTCGCACGCAAAAGTGCAATGCATATAAGCACATTAGAATTTTCCACATCGAATATCTCGCTTATAATGGCTTATTTCACCCATTTCACACACAAAAATAAGTTTTCTTTGCAATCCTGGAACCTTAACTTTGTCTGGGATAGAACAAAATCATTAGACCTTCGCTCAGATTATTTCTTTGGCTAATCGATGTCTTTCTTTCAACACTTCCTTAGGACATTAGAGCAGTAGATCTACAAAGACAATGTCTGATGAATAGGATGTTTTTCAAATGTAAAGTTTTTGTTGATGAAAGGAAAAAGCAGAGAACTTTGTAGCAATGTGGCTTTTCTAAGCCAACTTCTAATTTTGTACTTACCTACATTAATTAAAATACAAGGCGTTTACAAATACTTTTCTAACAATATCCCTTATTACATCTAATTACATATATGACAAAAAAAAGGTAGAAAAAAATATTAAACAACGACTTTACTCAACACAAAAGTGCGATCATATTGAGGCTTACTGGAGTGAGAGGGAATAACACGTCGTATTAATTCTGTAATGGTCTGGTAATCCGAATAAACGTCACTGACAACTCCGTCACTCACAATTTTTTTAAATGTAAGATTCATATAGTCGATTTACGTCCGGAGAACGAAGGTCATAAAAGGTCAATCTCAGGTGAGGCGCTTTCAATTTTATTTTAAATTGAAATCACTTTTACAACTCGCTAGCCGTCGTATATCTTGTGCTAATAACTTCACAATTTATGTCGAGTCGCAATGGACGTATATTTATTACCTAACAGACAGATTATAATAAAATCGATTTAAATTTACAATTTTGTCATTACTATTTTATAATTGACAACATAAAGCGTCTACAGTAGCATATTTATGTCATGTAATTCACAATTTCGCTGCGAATGGGAACTTAAAAGGTCGGAGCCAATCATTTCTTGAATAAATTTTCAGGAATAATAGAATTTATTCCACAATTCCCATTATTTTTAGCCGTCGTTATTTATCGTTGACATAAATTGTATGCTTAGCTGATTGCGTAAGGGATTCAATTATTGAAAAATAAGCCTTGTGTCGTAGATATTCATTACAACTTTTCTGTTAAGAGGTACCAAAGTAATAATCTCGAGCTTAAACATTTTAAGATTCTCAAAGTTTTGAATTCAACCACCACGAATTACACAGCCGTACAAAAAAAACAAAAATCCAAACCCAAGAAAGCCACATATCATTCCCGAAGGAATTGGATGCCTTGAAGAGGATCGTGTAGTCAAAATTCATGACCTTACTACCAGTTTCGAAAAAAAGTGAAAATTTTGGGTGAAAACTAGTCCAAATATGGGTCGAATCTGTTTTTTTCCTCAATCGAATCCAAATATATCATTTTCGTAGTATTTTTGAGTCGCTGAATACGATGCCATTGGCAAAATTTACCTCTGACCTTCATATTTCTCAGAAAATCCAAAATTAATGTTTTTTACATACTTTGAAAATAAAAAAACTGATTATTAAGGTGGCCATATTCCTGGCCGAGAAATAGCGAAATTTCTGGCGTTTTTAGGTACTGAAATCTTTAAAAGTAAAACGTGTAGAACAAAAGTAAACACAAAAATAAAATCCTTGATGTTTTGTTTATTCATTGTTACCATTTAAATTTACTCAAATAAAATAATAACTAAAAAAAAGCGTTTGTAAAACATGCGTTTGCTGTTATCCTAACCCCACATTTTAAGAATTATTTTCACGTACTTATAAATAAAAGTAAGCAATTTTATATGTAGGACTAAGCAAGTAAATGTTATAAGAATATTTACATGTGGAGTTATATATAAAAAAGTTAGTATTTTCGTAGATTTCAGTACCTAAAATCTTGATGGTTTGATCGTTTTTTGCACCTGTTTATTCGTTTTACTGCGGCGTCTTTGAAAATACTCAGGTGGCATGACATAACATTCCTATTATTTGATAAACTTTAGATTATTCAGTCATTAAATGTTTGAAATTATTTATCTTTGCGGAAAACACTATTTAAAGAATATGGGGCCCTTAAGAACTT